TTTGGTCTGTCTCTCAGTCCTTTGAAGATACCTAAAGATAATTCTTTTGAATTCCTTATCAGTGAGTTCCAATGCTGCTTCTTCCTCAGGGGTGTGTTCTGGGTCTGTATCCTGCTCCCTTGTTTCTACCACTTTATCCTGCTTCTTTGTGTGGACTGTGATGGTCTTTTGTCTCTGAGGCATCGTGGCATTGTTATATTTAGATCTCTGTTAACTGTTTGTGAAGAGAAGCCAAGGATGATTCAGGCTCTTCTTGGTGATTTTTTATCATCGGCCCATTGGTGGAGAAGGAGATAGTGGCTCTCGCTCAGTAAGTGAAGTCGCAGGAGGTGTGGGTGTAGTTGTGTCTTACGGGGACTGTTGTTGTCTCCCACTTAGTTAGACACAAATTACAACTGAATAACCATCAAAAAACTTTTCAGTCTTGTGGGTCTGGCGTGTCCTTGGGGTGCTGGAAAGCAGAACATGTTCTTAAGCCCCAGGAATCTGCAAGAGCGCTGTCTCTTTAAATATCCAAAATAGTCAAGCCGCTTTTAAACCTTCAAAATGGCGGCATCCTCCGGACGGGCAAAAGTCCACAGCTCAGCCTGCCTTTCTCTTCACCTTCTCCGTTTATTCCCCAGCCACTGTGCACGGTCCTCCGTGCAGTCCCTGGCTAGCAGAGCTGATTTTTTGGTTAATTCTTAGGTCCTACCACCACTCAGGAATCTTCAAGCTGTCTGTGCCGTCAGGATCGCTTAGGCTCGCTGCTAGACCGCAGCTCCGTATGTCTCATTTTTTTGGTATTTTCTCGCAAATTCTTCTGCTAGTTGGGGTTTAGTCCACTTTTGTATCCTTCCCTTCAAGGCTCAGGGGTCCAGGATTATCTTCTGTGTCTGTGTTAATTGGTTTCCCTTTTCTTTGTTGAAGAGGGTCTGTGCCATCTTTCTGCCTAGTCTACCATCTTGCTGGTCTCTAAATTGAAGTATCTTGTATATTTTTGTTTTATTAACCATTTTGTTGAGGACTGGGAAGATATTGAGAAGCTCTGGCGGCTCAGTGGTTATGGCATTTGTCTGCTAACCGAAAGGTTGGCAGTTCAAACCCACCAGCCACTCCACAGTAGAAAGATGAGGCAGCTGCTTCCATAAAGGTGTACAGCCTTGGACACCCTATGGGGCAGTTCTGCTCTGTCCTAAAGGATCACTTCATGTCAGAATCAACTCGATGGCAATGGGGTTTTTTTGGAGAAGATACTGGAATATCTCTCTTTTAAAATACAGTTGACCCTTGAACAACATTTAGGGGTGCCGACCCCCTGCACAGTTGAAAGTCTGCGTATAACTTTTAACTCTCCAAAACTTAGCTACTGACAACCTACTGTTGACTGGAAGCCTTACCGATAACATAATAAACAATCCATTTACACAGTTCTTGTCATAAGTTACTTGATTTTCACGTGAAGACACTCACACACATACACAACAGATAATTTTATTAACTGTATGTCATGATGGTTATTTACTATTCATTAAGTGGAAGCGGATCGTCATAGAAATATTCATCCTTATTGTCTTCCCATTGAGTAGGCTGAAGAAGAGAAGGGGTTGGTCATGCTGTCTCAGAAGTAGCAGAGGCAGAAGAGGTGAAATGGGTGGGAGGTAGGATAGACAGACACAACATACTTGGTTTAACTTTATGGAACTATGTTGTAATTTCTGTCTGACATTTTTGCTTTTTCATTTCTCTAATATATGTCTATATAATACCAATACTTCTTCCACTGATTGCTTTAGTTTCAGTGCTTGTGTCATAGAAGGGTCTGTGTTGTAAAAGAAGTCAAAAGCAGTATTGAATAATTGGAACCCTTATGCCAGATTATCTAATGTCAGTTTGTTTTCTGGTACTGTTTCTTCTACATCTTCTTTGTCATCATCTGGCACTGGTTCGGAAGCATTCATCTCCATAAGTGGTCTTCTGTTAATTCCTCTTGTGTGGTATCTATTAGCTCTTGAATTTCTCCAAGATCCATATCTTGAAAAAAATCCACAAGTGGACTCATAGTTCAAGCCCATGTTGTTCAAGGGTCAGCTATAGTTTCATGAATTACTTACTTGTTTGTTTAATTCTCCTTGCCCTGCTGCTGCTATATTTATAAATGTAATGCCAATTTAAGAATTATACTGTGCTTTTTAGATGTTCTTGTATTGATTTGTTCATAAATCTTAAAGACTTGGACTTCGAGAAAAATACACTTACATTGATTTCAAACAAACCAATGATAACTATGGAGTCCACCTTTTTTTTTTTTTTCTGAGTTAGGGTTCCTCTCATATCATAACTTTTTACCCTTTCTATTCCCTAAAGTTTTAAAACTTCTCTTCCTGAGAGAGTGTAAAGCTCTCTTTTCCTCATCATAATTTATGAAAGTTAGCAGAAGTTCGTGATGTTGACACCCTTCACTTCCTTTACCAGAGCCAGTGGGACTGAGCTAGCCTGTTTAGAGATGGGTTAACCAGACCCCTTGTTCCTTGCTTTCTTGGTGCCAGTTTGGGGCCAAATAAGTCAGAAGCAACTGAGAGCCACATCCAGGTGATTCCAGTCTTTATTCTATTTTGTCAGGTGATTTTGTTAAGAACAGTTCAAGAGGATAGAGAGGGAGAACAATGTGGAACAAAACTCAAAATCATTTGGGGAAAAAAAAAAGGGGGGACCAGGTTTGCTGGTCTGATAGAGCGTGGTGGAACCACTGAGACTGTGGTCCCTAGCCATCCTTCAGGTCTGGAATTGAACCCACACCTGTGCCTTCCAGCCAAACAAAAGACAGGCATTTGAGTTGAACATTTGCCTGAGGTAGAAACACTCCATGGAGAGAACAATCATGGGAGAAAGAAGGACTGTTTAAGTACAGGGAGACAGTTCAGGGGGCAGAAGTGCATGGAGGGATGGACTCAGGGAAGAGGGAACTATCGGGAGGAAGTGGGAGGGGAGCTGTTGCATTGGGGTAAATTGTAGTCAATGTCATGAGACAACATGTTTGTGAACTGCTGTATGGAAAGTGAATTTGCTCTGTAAATTTTCACCTAAATCTCAGTTTAAAAAAAGAAAAAAAAAAAAAAAAACCAGTTCAAGAGGCATGGTTTTACCAAAAATATTTTTACCTGTTTACTTTGTGTATACATAAAACTGCTTGGTTGATTTACCCTTAAATTGTGCTCTAAAATACTATCCCCTTTCTTTGACAGGATCCATGCTGGAGAATGGGGTCTCACATTTTGAGCCTAAGTCTTTAGCTATGCACTCTACTCAGAATTCTCAACAATCCAGGAATGCTGCCAAATCCCTCTCAAAATATACCACAGGACTTCAGTTTTCAAATCTGGGGATGGAAGATATTCCACTCTCCTCCACTAACAAAAAACTAGGTAAATCAGAGGGCTACTCCTAGAGAAAACTAAAAATCTGTGTTTTTAGCCAAAGAAGGCAAATTATCTCTATTCCCATAGATAAGATTTCAAAAGGGCAGTAGGTAATGCTTTTTCTGTTTTCCAGGGAATGACTACCCATTTGGGAATCTGACAGCAGTTTAGATGCTATGCAGTCTTGTTAGAGTGACAGGGATCCTTTTTCTGAGTTACAGTCAAACTAGTGCCAGGATGACTTATCTGCTAACATTAACCTGTTTCCTTTATTTGCTTTACTGCAATGCTTTTATGCTGTTTGCTTCATTTTTATTTCCTGGTTCACTCAATAGTAAAAAATCCTCTACTGTCTTTGACTTGACATTTTAAAGAAGTACTGCACTCCTCTTTAGTTTCATGCTTTTATCTGACATCTGACAGACTCAAGCTTTAAAGTAGATTATTTTCTCTGAAGTAATAGTGTTGACTGGTGGTAGCTCTTTGCTTTATTTTTTAAAATGATAATACTCATTTAAATAAATAGCTAATAATTAAACAGTGGTAACGGCCCCTCTCAGTATTGTGTATTTAAGCATGGTGGTCTATTACACTGAATAAATACAGAAATGTAAAGGAGACTTGTGACCTGTACCTACTTGTTGGTCATTTATTCCATACGTGTTAAACTTTCCTTTAGTTAGTGAGACTTTTCTTTTTTAATATTCTAACATAACCCTCAGCTTGCTCCAGAGCAGTAACCCTATGCTGCTTAATTGTGGATTTTAATGGAATTTTCCTTATATTGTTAAGAGTACAATAATGGGAGAGACCACACTATATATGCTCTGTGTCTTATTTCAGAATATTCAGTCAAACAAAAATAAAGAGGGTTATGTAGGCATAAAGAACCCCTCGTGGCACAGTGATTAAGCACTTGGCTTTTAACTAAAAGGTTGGCAGTTTGAATCCCCAGCCATTCCCTGGGCGAAAAGACCAAGAAGCAGTCTGTTCCTGTAAAGATTATAGCCCAGCTTTTATCAAGATGGAGCTGAAAGCAAAGAAGGAAGCCCCTGCCCCTCCCAAAACTGAAGCCAAAGCAAAGGCATTAAAGCCCAAGACAGCTGTGCTGAAAGGCTTTCACAGCCTAAAATGAAGAAGATCTGCATGTCAGCCACCTTTTGGCAGTCTAAGACACTGAGGCTCCAGAGGCAGCCAAAATAGCTTTGGAAGAGTCCTCCCAGGAGGAATAAGCTTGACTACTGTTCCATCATCAAGTTCCCCCTGACTACTAAGTCAGCCATGAAAAAGATCAAGGTTAACAACACAACTTGTGTTCACTATGGATGCCTGGGCCAACAAGCATCAGATCAAACAGGCTATGAAGAAGCTCTGTGACATTGACTTGGCCTGATGGAGAAAAGGACGTATGTTCTACTGACTCCTGACTACAATGTTGCCAACAACATCTAAACTGAGTCAAGCTGGCTAATTCTAAATATAAATTTTTTCACCACATACAAAAAAAAGATTATAGCCTAGGACACCCTATGAGGCAGTTCTACTCTGTCATGTAGGGTCACCATGAGTCGGAATCGGTTCAACAGCAGCAACACAGAGACCTAAGTCTTGAAAACTTTTAAGCTGTCTTCATCTCAGGTGCCTGCTGTGTTGTCTGCTAATCTTGAGACTATGTCATTTTACTTGTTGATCTTGAGTTTGTCAGCCTCAGCAGCCAGCAGCTAAGTGAGTCAGAAAAAGCCTCCAGCTCTAGTAGGCCTGAACAGGAGGCAGAGCTAAAGCCCAAGGTCAAGGGGCCTTCACCCAGCCCCTAAACTGGCACTCTGAACTTGGACTTCTAGCCTCCTAAACTGTTAAGAGTATAAATCCCTGTTTGTTAAAGCCATCCATTTGTGGTATTTCTGTTATGGCAGCACTAGAGAACCAAGACATTGGCATAATTCTAAACTTCTTAGACCCATGATTCCTATACTATATAACTTTAACATTGGTTAATATAGAAAAGTTGATAAAACTCTTGGTAACTGGTTAAAATGTTTTAGGGAGGTAAATATTTCATCTTTATCTACAGAGTTGTCTTATCCACTTATGCTTCAATATGTACTGTATAGAGAGAACTTTATCAATTTTGTAATGCACACACTGTAAAGTATACTCTTAAATTCTGTCATTTTGGGAGTTTTGAAAAGTTGGTAGCTGTTCAAATTGGGTTAAGTCTGTTTTCTCTGTGTGTTTATTTCATTTTAGATAGTTTCTAAAATGGCTGTCTTGAGGTTCTCTAAATTTTGTTGTTGATGTTTTTGTAGTGTCCAATCTGCTGTTAATCCTATTCAGTGTATTTTTTCATTTCAGATACTTTTTTTTTCATCTTTACAGTTTGATTTAGGTCTTTTAAAATATCTGCCATGTTTCTCCTTAAAATACTCCTACTTCACCTCCTGGAATATATCGGATTACAATAACTGTTGTAATATCCTTACCTATTTTAATTTTATTATCTGAGTCAATTTTCATTGATTGATTTTTCTCTTCATTGTGGATCATATTTTTCTGCTGGTTTCTATGCCTGGTAATTTTTTATTGGGTGTGAGACATTGTGAATTTTGCTTTGTTGATTGCTAGGTATTTTTGTATTTCTTTTAATATTTTTGTGCTTTGTTCTGGTACTCAGTTAAATTACTTGGAGACTTGATTTTAAGCTTTGTTAGGTGGGCCTAGAGTACCCTTTAGTGCCAATTTGCTTCATTACTGAGACAATACCCTTCAAGTATTCTACCTACTGCTCTGTATATTGTGAGGTTTTTTCACTCTGGCTGGCATGAATATGAGCTATTCCAGGCCTGGAAGAGCTCTGAGGATTGTCCCACCTGTCGTTTTCCATATTTTGTTTTGTTTTCTCCTCTGTCATGGATAGTTTCCTCACATGCATGTAGAGATCAGTATTCAGAATCCTCTATAGGTGTCTGGAGCACACACTCTGTTAGCTCTCTCATCTTTGTTTAGTTTTTTCTTCTGTAATACTCTGCCCTGAGAATTCTAGCCACTTTGGCCTCTCTGAATTCTCAGCTCTGTTCTCTGAACTCAGGGAGACCTCCAGGCTCAGTTTGGGCCTTCTCCTCACTTTGTTTCCTTTTTTTCAGAGAAAAGCACTGCCTTTCATACATTGTCTGAAAACCATTGTTTTATATATTTTATTCATTTTTTGTTTTGTTTTATTTTTTGTTTGCTTTGTTTTTTAAGTTATTAAAGGCAAGAAGATGCATCTTTGTTCCTGTTACTCCATCCTGGCCAAGATACTTCTTTTTCTTTTTTAAATAAAAAGCTGTGAAAACATTGTTTTTTAGTTGTTGTTACTAGGGTAAGGGATAGCCATTTAGGAAACATTCTTGGTCCACACATTTATACTTGTCATGCTTAGACATTCAAATCCAACTTTCAAGTTATGTATCTTCCTTTTTCTGTTACTCTTTATTTTTTTCCTTAAGGTTCCAATATTGAAAAATCTGTGAAAGATCTCCAGCGCTGCACAGTGTCTCTTGCACGGTATCGAGTTGTAGTTAAAGAAGAAATGGATGCTTCCATTAAGAAAATGAAACAAACTTTTGCTGAATTGCAGAGCTGGTAAGTTAAGTTGTATTTGATATCGGTAGAATGAAAATGATCATTTATAAAGATACTCTGTCATTCAGCACGTTCTTTAATTGCCAATTCCTAAGTACTCTACATAGTGAGGGGAGACTTAAAAGTCCTATGGTAAATTTAGCTTTCTCTTCATTCTTTTTGTTTTGGTCAGTGTGAGAATGAGTGTTACAGAGAACTCACAAGGCTATAGAAATGTACCTGTGGTTAATTATTTTTTGGAAAAGGACAAATAATTACAGAAAAGATTATGTACCCTTATGTTAGCATCTCTTTTAAACCAGGAGCCTGTAACAACTAACATGCTACTTTTGCACAAAATTATAAATTAGAAAAGATCTGTCTTTGCCTTCCTTCCTCCTTTTATTCTTATTTATTTATGTACTTTACCCCAGTGATCTGTTCTGTGTCCTGTTATTAAACATTAATTTGTTTTAACTTTGTATTTTTAAAACCATCCCTATAGATACTCATTTCTTAAAATATATTAATATGTGTTCTGTAGAGGAAACAAGAGTTTAGTAGTTAAAGAAGTTTGAAAATACTTTTTAAACTTTTACCACAGGATTTCTCAATGCCTTTTTAGTAAAGCTAATATGCATTTTGAATCTCTAAGAGGGACCTATACCATGCTGTTTCTCAAATATATTTAATATGGAATTGTTTTTTGGAAGAAATATATTCTAATACTTCCTAGAACATCAAAGCAATTTTAACTAAGATATATTGAAGTGTTAAGTGATATTTAAACTATCATTTCTTTCTGGGAGATGTTTGTGTTTTATAAGGGAATTTTTAAAAAATGGAATAGCCTTAAAGACCAAAGTAATTAAAATGATGGGATGAATCTAGGTTGACGTTTGGGGCTTTAGGACTGTCGACTCTGCTCATTTGTAAGACCTGCTTATATCTGAAAAATGAAAGAAGTATTCATGAGTAGAGAGAATCACACCACTCTTCCTCCCAACCATCTGTCTTCTCGCCTGTCTGTGGACTGATATTCCCTTACGCCATAACCAGCTATGTCTCTGTCCACAAACTTAGTCCAGTTGCTAAGTTTAAGTTGCTTAGTCACAGCCATCAAGAGATACAGGGGAGTGTGAGTAGGTTCAGTACTCCTATTCTCTGGAATTCAAGAGGGAATGAATTAATGAAGATGTAGAATAATGCTTCTAAAAAGTTGATGACCCCTACTTTTATAATGTGCAAAGCACAGATGGTCTAATAAATCGTGATAACCAAAAAGTGCTTTTAGGGTAGGTGATTCATCTAGTAGTCTACCCGTACCTTATCCCATATCCAGTTTCACTTTTCAGGTTTCATAACTAGAAACTTAATATCATGTTTTCTGATTTTTCTTATACACATTATTATTTAACCAGCTTACTCATTGTCCCAGAATTTAGCATTCACATTTCCTCTTCCATGTATTTACTAATTTTACTTTCTCAGCCTGATAACGCTCTCCTATACCTCTGTACTTAACTAAATCTAACCAGTTCTCCAAGAATTCACCTTAAACTAAGCTCTAACTTCACCGGGAAATTTTTCTAGAGAAGTGATTTTTCCTGTTTCTGAACCCCTGGGAGGAAGCATCATGCCCTCTGGGCTGGATTTTATCATAGCAGACATTGTTGGTGCATCTGGAAAAGAATAAAGATCTAAGTGTAGGTCAGCACAGCTTTTACTTGATAAGCCTCTGGTCTCCATGATGGTTCAGCTTACTTATTAGCCACAGGAACTGACTCCATTCAGAACCAGACTGAACCAGGAAACACAGTTCCGTGAAAGAGATTTGTGAGTTCCTACTGACTTGGAAACCAGCCAGTCGGAGCCTCCTTCAGTAAATGACAAATGAAATGGTTTCCTGCCTTGGAACTGTGTATTTAGGATTGATTAGCAGGCGTAGCAAGCAGGTCAGTTTAACTTAGGAAGGAGATTATTTGCCGTTTCCTGCTGGTGTAAAGCCCTTCTCTTTGGCTGATTGGGTTTTTAAACTACGTTATTTAATGCCCTTTGTAGTTGCTATTTCAAGACATAATTGGCAGGTGTGCTAACTCCATTTGGCACCAAACCAGAGTTAATGCCCTTAGGAAGCCATTTTTGTGTTGGTTATAGTGTAAAAAAAAAGCAAAAGGTTCCAACAAATTTGCAACAGTACAGTTACATTACCCCTGACAGTGCACTAGGGAAATTATACAGATAACTGCTTTCACTTTGATGCCAAATGAAAGGTGGTACATACCTGTGGACAGTGAAATCAGAGCCTTGCCATGTATAAAATTTAAAATCTGTTCTCATTGTGATTCAGTAATAATCATCTCCTGACCCACGTTTACTTTTTTAATCACTAATAAAATTTGTCTGAGTTACATTGTTGGAGTTGTTGGATGACTTAAGGTTTAAGGCCATTAAGGAGCATGCTATAGAGTGGAACAAGAAGCTGGAGTATATGAACTACTTTGGAAGGTTGTTATATCATGTGCTGGTGAGAAACGTCAACAGGATACACACTTAGCTTTCCTTTTAAATAAATAGAAATAAAAGTCATATAATTCTGCCACCTTAACATAATTTTTATTTTCTGTGTTTACTTGTATCTCTTATCTATATGCATATGTGTTCTTAATAGTTGTAATCATAGTGAGAGTGTAATTTTTTAATATGTTCTTTTCACTTAAAATTATCTTTAATTTATCTCTGTGTAACTGCGTGTACTATGTTAGTATATGTACAGTTTTATTTAAGAATTTCTAGACAATGAACTTGGAATGGATAATGATTTATCAGAGTTAATATGAAAGCATTTTCTAGATACATAGTTTGCTCAAACAGAAATAAGTACAGAAATTAGAATAATAATTACTGCCATTTATTGAGCTTTTATTTGAATATCAGAAGCTTTTATGTACAGTATCTCTAATCTGCATAACAGTATCACTCATGTTATGATCATTTTATAGATGAGAAAAAATGGACACAGAAAGAAAAAAAGCCCAAAGTCCATGCTGGTGTTAAGTGACAGTTTTCCATTATATCACACTCCCATTCTCTCTTACCAGATATCTCTTTCTGTCTTTGTTCTTTAATCCTTACCTTCCTAGTCTACATATTTCCCTTGTTTCTGGAGCTTTAGACATTGAATCATTCCAGAGAGAGAGTTGAAAAAAGAAAATCATGGTTGCAAGTGAGAATATAGTCAACTACTATATATGTGGACTTACTGAACCAACTATTGCTTATCAGTGAGAAACTTGAACAACATTCTCCTTTGTAATCTAGATGGCTAATGGTTCTTTATTCTTAAACATTATGCAGTATGATCATGAGTCATATGGTCTCTAGGATTAGTTTAGAATGGAGGTGCTTTCGACCATTGGAAAGGAACAGGAAACAAAGTTACTGCATTGAGGGCTTGCCCTATAAAAAACATGGTTTATATTCACATTCTGACTTCTTAAAAGCCACTTCAAACTTGAAACATGAAATCACATGCTACATCTTTGCAAAGGACTATTTATTACAAAGAGGGGCACCCATCAACATTTTTATAGCATCCAAATTTGATTAAACAAGGTAGTTCTTTCAATTCATTTGTGCCCCAGGTGTTCAACCCAGTATGATGTTCTGGCTACCTGATGGGTGGGTTTTTTGTTATTTTAATTGTGCATTGGATGCAAATTTGCAGAGCAAAATGCACATTTGATTTCATGCCCCAGTTACCATCCCTGATCATAACAAACTCTCCTCCCCTCCCTGTGCCCCTCTTAACTGTGCACTCCTGTCTGTCCACCTTTCCCTCTATGAATGCTGATGCTGCCCCTCTGGTGCCCCATGGCCAATTATAAGGGGTGCATCACCCTAGGGTAGGTGCTCTGCATGTAGGTCTTTCTACTGTTAGATTGAAAGCCAATCCTTGGGAGTGAGTCCAGTTCTAAGCCCAAAGGGTAACCCAGGGCCATAGTCTTGGGGGTTCTACCAAACTCTTTCTGACTAGTAATACTGTTCGTTTTTGTGTTTTTGAATTTTGTTCCACATTTTTCCTCCCACTCTATCCAGCATCTCCAGCTTTGATCCCTTCCTGAGTGGTTGGCATTGGTAGCCAGGCACCATCTAGTTCTTCTGGTCTCAGGGTCCATCACACCCTTGGACTAATGGTTTCCAGATGACTTTGATTTTCTTCACTCTTCTTTGCTTCAGATGAGAGGAGACAAATAGTTGCACCCTAGAGGGCCACTCAAAAGCTTTTAAAACTAGAGGAATTGTTTTTTGTTTTGTTTTGTTTTGGAGCCCAGATGAGTATATCATAATCCAACAAGGCCAGTGCTAAGAGTATAGACTTTAACCACTCAGAGGGGGATCTATGTAGGAGATCCTGGATAGAGAGGGAGAACAACGTAGAACAAAACTCAAAATCATTTGGGGGATGAGGAGAAAAAGGGGAGGGACCAGGTTTGCTGGTCTGATAGAGCCTGGTGGAACCCCTGAGACTATGACCCCTAGCTGCCCTTCAGATCTGGAATTGAACCCACACCTGTGGCTTCAAGCTAAGACAGGCATATGAGTTGAACATTTAGCTGAGGTAGATACACTCCTTGGAGAGATCAATCATGGGAGAAAGAAGGGCTGTGTATGCACAGGGAGACAGCTCAGGGAGCAGAAGTGCATAGAGGGATGGACACAGGGAAGAGGTAACTGTCAGGAGGAAGTGGGAGGGAAGCTGTTTCATTGTGGTAAATTGTAGTCAATGTCATGAGACAAAATGTATGTGAACTGCTGTATGGAAAGTGAATTTGCTCTGTAAATTTTCACCCAAATCACAATAAAAAAAAATTTTTTTAATTAAAAAAAAATGTAGACTTTAAGTTCATTAATTCTCTGCTAATAAAAACTTTTGGCAATTCTTTTTCTTGCTTATTTTTTATGGAAAGAGCAAAGTGTCTTCAAAGAAAAAATGTGTTTGCCTGGGCTTTGCTTGGATCTCTGCCTTGATTGGCTAGTGAAATTATAATAAATAGGTTTTAAGTTTCCAGCAAATCAAGTGTAAATGTTTTCTAAGAACATTATTGAGTAGTTTAGAGAATCATCCTTTGACATAATTTTCTGTGAATTGCCAGAGTTATGTTTTCATTATGACATTGTTTTATAATGCAAGAACAATGAACAAATGATAATTAACAATATTTTGGTGGCAACAAATTTCTGAAGGCAAGAGCTCGAATGAATAATCTGTATGTTAGATAAATTAATTAAAGGACTTGCTTCAAATGATGGAGAACATACTATATGATAAAGATGTGGGTGGTAATGCTACAGGAAAAGCTATTCTGAGCAACTGAATTACAGAAAAGCTTTAGAATAAGTTGAGCAAATGTTAAAATGGTAGAAAGTCCTGGGAAAAAAGGGAAAGAAATCCAGACAGGTACTAGTCTTTTTTTTTTTTTTTTTCCCCGTAATTATGACCAGGCATCTAAAACTGTCTTTTATGATCGAAGAAAGTGTATAGAAATTCTAACGCTGTGTAGGTACAGGGTTAATAAGAACTAGCTTTTTTCCAAACAGGCTCCAATAATACTTAGCCTTAGCTGAATTTCATTAGGTAGAGCAGTTTTAGAATCCAGCGTACCAGATTGCCATTCAGGAAAGCCTGTATCGAACACTTGCAAGCTTGGTACCCGCAGGTATTGGAGTGAGCAGGGTAACAGGAAGTCAGTCTGAATGAGCCTTTCATCACTCTCTGAGAGGATTCATTGCTTGCAGTCATGACATCTAAAAACTATTGCCTCAGACCCCAGGTACTTTTGAATCTCTTGGCAACAGATCCACAGTGGGACCACTGTTCAGCTTAGTAACAGATGAAAAGCTTTAGTTTACATTGCTGTTTGTTAGAAAGTTGTATTAGAGTAAATTATTTTTTTATCTGTAAAAAATGCTTCTGCTGGTTATCATTATTCCTGGCTTCCTTTCTGCTTTTGAAGTCTTCCTGCCTTCTCTCTTTATTTGGTGATGTACATATTTCCCCAACTTTTTTTTATGAGAACTCTCAAGAATACAGAAAAGATAAAAAGATAATTATGGATGTACTTTGTGTGTTTTTTGCATGTTCTTTGTGTATGTTTTGGGGAAACCATTTAGAAGTTTTAGACATCATGACATGTCACTCCTAAGTGCTTTAACATAAATGACCTAAAAACAAGAACATTCTTTTATACAATCATAATACCATTATAAGATGTACTTTTAATAAGAAATTAATGATTACATCTAACATTTACTCATTTTGTATTTTAAAGCCTTATGGAAAATTACAAATATTCATCAGGCTTTTTCTCTGAGAAAATATTTCATTAGCCTCAATTAACCAATAAATTCTTCTGTTTAATGATGAACTGACATCATAGACCTTTCTCAATAGATGCCAAACAACAAACAGAAAGAAATAGAAGTGCTTACTGCCTTTTTATGTTCTTTTTTGGCACAAAAATATAAAACATTTTTTTTAGTGGTTTTCCATGCACTGCCATATGAATTTTTTGTCATCACCAAATGAATCAATCAAGAAACAAAGTTACGTAAATGCATGCCAGTCATTATCAAAGGCAGGAAAAAAGGGTCATCACAACATACTAACTAGCTCATACTGCCAAAAAAAGTCTGATTATGATGATGTGGAACTGTTTTTTTCCTTACTCAAAAGTGTCATGTGACATTCTGCTCTTCATAATAAAGATTGTAGGCTGCAAAAAGCTTGCTTGTTTGCTGAAGTCTTTTAATAAATATTTTACAAGCTTTGTCAGAGACAAAGAATTTGTCATCTTGTGGATACAATGTCTGCATCTTAAGATAACTCACAGCGGGAGAAAGGTAGTGTCAAACCATAGGCCTGGAAGCTTTATCTCAGTTGTGTTTTTGTTTTGCCTTTTAGGTATTCCAGAAGGCTGCTAGAGTTCTTAGAGCAATTATTGCTGAGGTTTGGGAAATGCTTTCTTCAGAAAGTATTGCTATCCCAAAATAATTGTATCCTCCCCTCAGTCTAGTGTTTTTGGATTAATATACCAACCAAATTTGTTTATTTACAAGTCTGTTTATTAATATGCATAATGATATCAAACCTATTTTCTCTGGCCCTTCCCTATAAAGGATTTTGTTCCTTGAGGAAATGACCCTGCTTTATACTTTGGTTTATATCTTACACTATATTCTCCATATTAACTACTTTGTACTAACATAGCTATATATTACATTTATGTGTATGTATATGAATGATCATATTTACAACCAGAAATAAGAGTGGAACTTTTATTAACCCTGTGGTTATATTCCTATTCAAACAGAAAAATCAGAATGGACTCCAAACTTGAGGGAAGTTGAAGCATTTCACGGGTGTACAAAAAAAAAAAAAAAAAACCCTCACTGCCGTAGAGTCGGATCTGACTCATATCGACCCCTCCCTGGGTTTCCGAGGCGGTATCACTGTGGAAGTAAATTGCCCAGCCTTCCTTCATGTGTGTAGTTACTAAAATTTTAGATTTTAAGATTTTTAATTTTGTTTGTCATCACCAAGCTGAACTGTTATGATAGGAAAATTATTTACTTCCAGAGATTGAATACTCGGGTAACCTATCTCCCTATACGTTGAAGGCAGTGAACTCTTATAAGGGCGTGGAAAAGTTTATATTTGTAAGGGAGAAAATTCTAATTGCTCATTAATGTTCCTTTTCTGGTTTTTTTTTTTTTTTTTAAGCCTACTAGAAACATTTGGTTCTATCCTTTTCATATTACTATTATGTTTATCAGAAACCACCACTATGTGTGTATGTCTTCTGACTACTATGAATTCTTATGACTAAAATGCCAGTGGACTTGGTACAACTGTGGGGTAAAATGTTTAAGATAAACAAATTCTAATCACAGATAAATTTACCATGCCCTAACAGAGGTATTGCCTGGTGAAAATGCATTCTAGAACTAAAGCTGTCAAAATCTCCAGACCAAGATATTAAATAAATACATATGAGGGGCATACTAATTTCCACAAGGGCTTTTTGCTTTAGCACAACTAAGAAATGTGTTTGTAGCTTGCTACTGCCATCTACTGGTTCTCAATAGCTACTGGTCTACTGTAATATGTAGACACAAAAGGGAATTTAGTCTATTTATTATTGGAAATTCTTGAAATATTCTTTGTTGAGAGTGGGACAACACAATTTTCTTCCATCTTTTCAGTGTTTACTTTGTAATGTGCTTTTAGTGGACAAACTTACAAGTCTTTCTCCATTATTAACAGTGCATTTCTGCGTTTGAATTTCTGATTAATCCTTTTAATTCTTTGCCATCTTTTCCTAGCTTAATGGACCGGGAGGTGGCATTGCTTGCTGAAATGGACAAAGTTAAAGCTGAAGCAAGTAAGACTGATCTCTAAATAAAATGTCTGAAAACTATTACCAGATAGATAGTAGTTTATCATCTACCACCCCCCGTAACAGAAACTCAGTATAAATGCTACAGTAAGAGTTTATATATTATTTAAACTAACTTGAGAAATTTTACTACACTGGTAGTATAATCCTATTAGGCAGAATAACTTTACAAGAACCTGTTTTTAAAAATATTTCCAAATTTCAGTATTTTGAATGTGGAGTTCGATATGCAAGAGACTAATACCATGGTTATCTAATACCACATACTCCAGAAATCACAACATCAACCTTCGAAAAAAGTATACGGTAGCCATCTGGGTTTTATTTTGTTTTTCTCGCCAGTTATTAAACGGTTCCACGTTATGTTGTTGTTGGGTGCCGTCCACTCAGTTTTTGACTCATAGCAGCCCCATGTGACAGAGCAGAAGTGCCCTGTAGGGTTTTCTGGGCCATAATCTTTATGGAAGCAGATTACTAGGTCTTTCTCCCACAGAGCCACTGGGTGGATTTGAACTGCAGCCTTTCTGTTAATAGCTAGGTGCTTAACCATTGCACCACCAGGTTGAGTACATATAGTCTTATCATTACCTATCTCAGAACTTTCTTTATCTTCTCAGTTGGTGGAACAGACTTCAGTTACTGTCCATTATTGATGGATGAGGAAAAAGTTAGTGAATTGAGCGTTTGGGAAACCATGACTAAAGCTCCTTGAAAGGTTATTAAAATACATTCTATAGGAATAGAGTCCAACTTTGGCAATTTTTAGGGTTTTGTATGGAAGAACCAGATTATCTATATGATTTTTTTATAATTTCTACTAAGTATTTGGGTAAAGATACCTAGCTACATGGAAAGAAGGGAATGTAAGCTGCAACTTGAACAGTGGCATTGACTGGGAGCTTTTTAATAGCGGATTTTACCTTTATGCATTGAATGCCTGGTTTATAATTAAGAAGGATATTTCCTTTAACTTACCCTCAAACTGGTAAGAATAGAAATGTTGGGCCAGGTTGAGATGATGATTCACAATTAAATCATTTGAGTTTATGGTCATGGGCCAGAGAAGGCAGCTTTGAAACCCTGACTGAGTTCAGTTGTGATCCATTTTAACTTGAGATGTTGAATATCAGCAGAGTTGCTATCCACTGTTCTCCAGAGGTGAGATTTAATTTATACTGAGTATTATGAAGGTTCTAAATTTGACACCATCTCAGTCCATTGCTGTACCTGTGTTCTCTCTTTTTGAAGATGAAGTTTCAGATAAAATAAAACTAGTAAGAAGACATAGTCCTTAACTTTTCAGAAGAAGGTACTTTTTAAAATATACCTTTTAAAGGACATTTCAAACTTTTAAAATAGGGAAACAATTAAAATGAACTCCATCACCCAGCTTCAACCAGTTACCAACTCATGGACATTTTTATTTGATCAAATTTAGGATTTTCATGACTTTTGCATTTGTATCTCCTTTCTCCCCTGCTGAAAATTCTGATTCTCAGTGACACTAAAAAAGAATGCTGCTTTTTCTTTTTCACACACTATAAGCTTATTAAATAATTCATATGTTCATAATACTTTACAGCCCAGCATTTTTTCACTTTCAAATATATATGATCCTTCACATCAACTCTGTGAGGTAGATAGAGTTTCCTTTTTTTTCCATTTCATAAATGAAGAAACAGATTCTTTGGGAAAAAAAGTGACTTGTCCAGTGTCATAGAATTAGGTTACGTAATTAGATCCTCTGAGTTATTTGATATGTGTAGAAATTGTTGCTTTTTTTTTTTTTTTTTTTCCATTTTAAGGTCTGACATTTTCTTAGAACCATAGAATGCTAGAGCTGAGAGAAACTGCAGTTTATACAAATGGAAAATAGGTTTTATCTTGGGACTACACCATTAGATCATTTGTAGCTGTTTGGGCCTTGGAGTTGAGAAACCTTTGTAGGCATATTCCTAAGTTATCAGGAAAGAGGACGCTGTTTGATTAACCACGCTTGATACGGGTATGAGCAACCCATGGATGGCAAATATGTGGATAAAGAATCAAGACATTATATACATTCCGAATAAATAAAATTGCTAAAGACCGTCAGTTCTCTCTAATTCCTGATATAACTCTGAAACTTCTATTTTTTCTAATAAATTTGGCTAATTTCTTAGGTTATAGGACTCTGTATATTATTTAGGGATTGAGCTTGTCTACATGTGGCAGAGTGGCATAGATAAATTTGAGTTTATTTTCTCTCATAAAATGTAAAGTCCAGGGATAAGCATTGCAGGGCTGGTAGGACATTTCCAAGATAAATTAAAAACCAAGGCTTTTCTGTTCTTCTACCGTGCTATCCTTAGAATATGCTCATGGTCAAATAATAACTCCTAAGTTTCTACATCAAGAGGGACAAAATATTACATACTGGCTGAATAAGATCCCTTTAAAGAGCTTTCCTGTTAACATTGCCCTATGAGTTCTGCTTATATCTCAATGGCCAAACTGTATCACATGACCATCTAATTTATAGCAAAGCCAGGAAGTATATAGACTTTTACCTAATCATATTGGTACCCAACAGCATTGGATTTCTGATAACTAAGACAGAAGAGGAGAGTAGATAGATATTCATTTGACCATTAGTCTTTGCTACAATCCACCCCTTCACTACCCAACATCTCTATTTCTCCCCAAAAGAGAACAGACTCACTTCTAAGTGTCAGTACTTTCATTGTCCTTCTAGTTAGTTCGTTCAGCTGAAAGTCCAGGACTTCTGGGTGATGTTCAGATCTTCCATCAGGTTTGGATGTAGCATGTCATGGTCTGAAATGCAGTAAACTAAAAGTTACACTCCCTCTTTTCCAATACTAGAGAGAGAAAGACAAAGATAAGTATAGCAAAAATTCCCTCTTGGGAAAGTATGAAACACAGCAGCAGTCACTGGGCTACAGCAGTGATCAAATCTTACAGGACAGAAAAAGCAGCCCTTACCCTCGTAGTAAGAAAAGTTCTTTGAATGACTTCTCTAGCATTTCATGGTCCTACCTCTTGGATGGATTTCCTCTGTCTCTTTACTTTTGTGGCCCTGGCTCTCTTTTCTGGGAGATTCTTATTGTCTGTTATCCTCCATGCCCATATCTGAGTTGTTCTTCAGAGAGCATGCCAAAGAAGGTGCTGCTTAAAATGTTATAAAGCCAGAAAAAAAACCTTGTTGCTGTCGAGTTGATTCCAACTCATAGTGACCCTATAGGTCAGAGTAGAACTTTCCTATAGGGTTTCTAAGGCTGTAACCTTTATGAAAGCAGACTGCCACATCTTTCTCCCACTGAGCAGCTAGTGAGTTCAAACTTTGGACCTTTTGGTTAGCACCTAAGCACTTAACTGAGGTTCTTTTAAACAGTTATAACAACCTAAATATCCGTCATTAAGGAACTTGGTAAATAACCGGGAAGATGGGGCAGTGTACTTCTGTAGTGATGCTGCCTCGGAAACCCAAGGAGGGGTCGCTATGAGTCGGGTCCAACTTGAGGGCACATGACAACAACAACAATTCACACAGTAGAATACTAGGTAGCTGTTAAACAGAATGAGAGAAAGCCAAATGTCTTATTATGGAAAGAACTTAAAAGACACCTTAAGTGAAAAAAGCTAAGGTAAAGGAAGGGAACATGTACAGGATCTATTCCCTTTTGTGAGGAGGGAAAAAAAGGAGATACATATGTTATAAATGCACTGGAAATACTTGGAAGTATACATAAGAAACTGTCAACAGTGGTATCCTTTGAGGAGAGGTCTACAAAATCAAAAGTAGGAGGGATGCTTACTTTTCATTTGATACCCATTCATTCTTGGTGAATTTTTACTATATGCTCATATTTCTTGTTTCAATTTATATCCTTCTTGCTACTTTTTTTTCAATTTGGAAGAGGAGAAAGAGAAATGCCAAGTTACTTATATGTCTTTATGATTCATAAGAAATGTTTATCATTTAAACTGCATTCAGACAACCTCCAGAAGGTGGAAGCTAGACCTTTGGTATTTCTGTTTTCTAGACGAGTAGGCATGTAATAAGCCTTTGGCTGTCCAGATACTTACTGCAAGGCCTGTGCTACCAGTTCCTCTTTATCCTGTTTAGCAGCAATGTGAGATTCATACTCCCTTTTCCTCTATAGTGGAAATTTTGCTCAGCCGACAAAAGAAAGCTGAACTTCTAAGGAAGATGACTGATGTGGCTGTTCGAATGTCAGAAGAGCAATTGGTTGAGCTCAGAGCTGATATAAAGGTAAAACTTCCTTCTTATGCCTTTCCTCTTACCTTGGGAAACTAAAGTAGCAAATCTCCATAATTCATGGCCATATCTAATATATTTAACTCATGATATTTCTTTCTCAAACATGGCCCTCTTCTAGATTCTCATTCTCTGCAAATGGGACTGCCATGTATCCAGTTGTCCAAGCTGGAAACCTTAGGATATTCCTCCTTTTCCTATCTTAATATATACTCTCTATATATAATATATATGGTTCGTATATACGCTGTCCCTTTGACCTCGTAATAAATCTCAGATCTGACTTTTTCCTTCATCTTCACCACCATTGTGTTCAAGCCACGATGATCTCTTGCTTGGACTTTTTAATAGCCTTTTTAACTAATTCCACCTGTCTACTATAACACTGCCCCACCCTCCATACTCTTTATTTTGGTGCCTCACACTACAGTGACCTGCCTGAAACTTCCCATTGCTTTTAGGATAAGAATCATACTGCTTAACATGGTCCATATGGCTCTGCATGATCTGGCCCTGAAGGATCACCATTTTTATTTCCCACCATACCCTCCTGTTCTCTGTACTCCCACTATACTAGCTCTTCCTTTCCATAATCATACCCTATTTTCTCCTGCTAGAGGGCCACTATCTGTGCTTTTCCCAACTGTCTAAAACCCTCTTTTCCCTGACCCCCAGCACACACAATCATTCTTGACATATTATCTGCCTCTGTTCTGTGCTTTGATAGTTTAGTTATAATTTTATGTGTATTTGATTATTTGTATCATCTTTCTTTCCCACTAATTTGTCAACTTCAAAATGTCAGGAGCCACTATACTTGGCACAGTGCTTTAGCACATAGTAGGTGTTCAGTAGACAGTGGTTGATTGGTTGATTCTTATTTTATAGAAAAAAGTTAGCAATTTGAGATGTTGATCATATTGAGTCTATTTATAAATTACTTAGGTTCAATACACATAACCTTTTTTTTTTTTTTTTTTTAACTTTTTGTGAATTGGGTGAAAGCAAATCAGTTTTCCATTCAATAATTCATACACATTTTCTTTCATATCATTGATTGTAATCCCTTCAATGTAACAGCACTCTTCCCACATCCTCCTGATGTTTCTTATCCTTCCTCCTTCTCTTCCTGACCCTTCCTTCCTTCCGAACTAACATGCATACCTTCTAAATTCTTACATTAAAAAAAAAAGTGTTTCTGAGGAGTCTCTGGGTGACACAAATGGTTAAGCACTTAGCTACTAAAAGATTGACAGTTCGAATCTACACAGCAACACCTCAGGAGAAAGGCCTGGTGATCTGTTTCTGAAAGATTACAGCCATTAAAAAGAGAAAGAGTCTCTGAAACTAAAGAAGGAAACACAAGAGAGGCTGGGGTACTCGGGTAGTTGTGGACACTGATGTTCTAAATAATTGTTTTTAGACTGTGAGCTATATGAACAAGGGAAGTTGACTTTCTCTGCTTCTGAGCCCACCTGCTCTTTGTGAACACATGATTTATTGCCATATTTGAGAGAACGCTTGCTGCTAAGGCTCGGTAACAGTCTTTGTGAAATAAAAACATAGATGGGCAATCATCTAGGACCTATCATTCTTACCTAGTCTTTTACACAAACTTATATTGTAGGAGTAAGTTCAAGAGCTCTGGTGGTACAGTGGTCAGAGCATTTGGCTGCTAACCAAAACATCAGTGGTTCAGACCCACCAGCCACTCTGTAGGAGAACGATGAGGCAGTCTGCTTCCATAAAGATGTATAGCCTAGGAAGCCCAAGGAGGGGTTGTTATGAGTTGGGTCCAGCTAGACAGCACATAACAACAACAACATGCAGCAGGGAGTGTACCCAAGACCATGTATAGGGTTGGCAGACAATGGTTCTACAAGTGTATTTGTATGTTCTTTAAGAATTCCCAAGTGTATAGTAGAGCTGACAAGGGACAAGGTTGTAGTCACTTCTTGGTCACAGCCAGCTACCCAGAGGGAGCGAGTAGTTGAACCTGTGGGCTTGGAACCGTGGTTGCAGGGGACATCAAGCTCAATTGGCATAACATACTACACAAAACGTTGTTCCGCCTCCTACTTTGGTGAATAGTGACTGGGATCTTAGAAGCTTGCAAGCAGCCATCTAGATGCAATGATGGGTCTCTCCTCATTCAGAGGCAAGAAGAATGAAGAAAACCAAAGATTCATGGAAAGAATTAGTGCTAGCGACTGGTACACCATCCAATCCACAGCCTATACGACTATGAAACCACAACTAGATGGTGCCCGGCTACCACTGTCAACCACTCGGGGGGATCTATGTAGGAGATCCTAGACAGAGAGGGAGAACAATGTGGGACAAAACTCAAAATCATTTGGGGAAAAAAAAAGTGGGTGGGGGTGGGACCAGGTTTGCTGGTCTGATAGAGCTTGGTGGAACCACTGAGACTATGGCCCCTAGCTGCCCTTCAGGTCTGGAATTGAATCCACACCTGAGGCTTCCAGCCAAACAAAAGACAGGCATAGGAGTTGAACATTTACCTGAGGTAGATACACTCCTTGGAGAGAACAATCATGGGAGAAAGAAGGGCTGTTTATGCACAGGGAGACAAGTCAGGGGGCAGGGGTGCATGGAGTAATGGACACGGGAGAGGTAACTATCAGGAGGAAGTGGGAGGGGAGCTGTTTTATTGGGGTAAATTGTAGTCAATGTCATGAGACAACGTGTGTGTGAACTGCTGTATGGAAAGTGAATTTGCTCTGTAAACTTTAACCCACATCACAATTAAAAAAAAGAAAAAGATTTACAGCCTTGGAAACTATGGAGCAGTGCTACTCTGCCCTGTATGTAGGGTCTCTATGAGTTGGAATCAACTCAATAGCAGTGGGATTTTTTTAATATAATATTACTATTAATGTTCCTTCCCCATAGACTTTATTGGAGTCAAATAGCTAAGCAATGCACATTTTAAATTACCATTTTCTGATTAACTAGAACTATATTAATAAATTGTATAGAAAGTCTTCCGCACATTAATACCAGTCAGTTTCATTCAGCTGTCTGAGAAAAGCCGGAAAACCCTTTGGAATAAGATGAGAATTCTGTCTCATAGACTTCATCTGTTCCCCTTCCCACGTGGCTGAAAAGCTGCTAGAAATATTTCTGCAGGCTTACTAAGGATCTGTTTCACTCGCTTTCAGTGTACTGAAGTGGGTGCTGTGCAATTTAAATGTCTTATTTCCAGATCATTTTATTTCCGTCATTCTTGTTATGTCTTTGGCTCAACAAACCCTAGAATCTGTTTCAGAATTAATCTCACATTGATATTACATGTCTCAAGGCTTTGTTACAAGAGGTTCATGTGGCTTCCTAAGCCACAATATGTTCTGAAGCTTTAGACTTGAAAGCCCAAAGGTAATTTTTATCTTTCTTTTCTCTTTCACTGTTTCTAGATGCCTCCTGGGGTTCAGATGCATTTGATTTTACTTGAAAATCTCAAGTGAGATTAGACCACCCCCAGTTAAGAAGACTTAATTGGGAAGTTCAATTGTTCCAAGTTATATCTAGCCCTTTGACTTTTGTTTGTCATCTCTTCTTCATTTGAAAAAAATTATTCCATTAGACATTGTTTATTGAAATAGACCCTCCAACAGCACTTTTTATTCCTATCATGTTTCTAGCCCCACAATTTCTAGCGTATAGTTTTGACCCAAGGGATTGGTTACTCCTCAGCTCAGTCTACCAAAAGCATTAAATTACTTGCAGCATAAACTCTTATTTACAAAGTTGACTTTTTGCATGAATGATTTTCCATCTCAAGAAATTGTTCCTGTTTCAAGGACTAACAAAACCTGGTTTATAAAGAGTTGAAGTAGTTGGTTTCTTAAGGAAGTTCCTATTAAGGAACATTCAACATCTATCTCAACAGGATCATTGTTGTAACTGACTGCTCACCTACTTGTAAGCATTTTTGCTGCCTCTGCTTCTCTATAAAATGGGACAATGTAGAAGTAGCCAACAGTGGAAACGTGGCCTTCCACTATAAATTCTTCCTCCTTTCTCTACTGTTTCTCTCACTTGCACCTAATGGGCTTTGATTATCATGTAGCACTTGATAAACCTTCCCAAATTAGACCTGTCTTTGGGATCTTACAGAAATGGGGGAATTTGGTCAATTACCCAACATTGGTAATGTGATGGCTATTTAGTGAAAAGAAGATGATTTTGTTTCATCTATATATATAGCAAGTTGTAGATTCCATGTATAATGTTTGTCTAACTTGGAGGCTTTTCTTTGCCTTTTCTCTAGCATTTCGTTAGTGAACGTAAATACGATGAGGATCTGGGACGAGTAGCTCGGTTCACCTGTGATGTAGAAACCCTAAAGAAGAGCATTGATTCATTTGGACAAGGTGAGATGGTGAGAAATGGACTCTAGAGATGGTGATGAGAAGACCATCCTCTGCTAATTAGAGAGTGAGGTGCTGCTTGGCTTCTACACAATTCTTCCTCAGTGCCTTTTCTGTTTTTGTTTGTTTGATCTTACGGATACTTAATGAAATCAATGGATGTTGATGTTTGGGGCTCTGATGATGAGTGTTTTCTACCTCTCTAAATATAAAATACTATTTTTTCATTAATTTCTGCTGCATTGAGAGCTATGTGATACGTAGTGTTAAGAGCATGGGGCTCTGGGAGTCAGACCAAGCTTAAACCCTTGTTTCTGCCTGACTTCCTGTAACCTCATTTTACTCCAGAACAGAGATGACAGTACTTGCCTTGCCTGGCATATCACCGGTAAACCAGTTGCTGAGTTGGTTCCAACTCGTGGTGACCCCCTGTGTCAAAGTGGAGTTATGCTCCACAGACTTGATCTCAGAGGCTGATTTTTCAGAAACAGATCGCTGTGCCTTTCTTCCAAGTCATCTCTGAGAGGATTCAAACTTCCAACCTTTTGGTTAGCAGCCAACCATAGTAACTATTGGCACTACCCAAGGACTGCTGCCTGACATGTAATGGGTGCTCAAATAGTAGCTTTGAAAGTGGAAAAGGGTTGTGTCTTAGGTAAGAGCTTGTAGATACATCAGTCAAACCCTGAGCTTATTCTTTCTATCTCAGTATAAAAGTGAAGTATCAGGTCTAAGGTAGTGATTGTGAATGTCATTAGCCCAGACTTAAAGCCAAGAAAAAAATTTAGGGGTAGTTTTAGACAATTCTGAATTCTGAAAAAATTGAATTGAAAATATTAATCTTTCTCAGTTAGATTGGTATTTTTAATTGGTTACTTTTGCAGAAAGTTAGAAATTTGAGAATGTGCATGTTTGTTGAAAAGATTAGTTCTGTTCATATTTAGCTACTCTTGATTATTTATACCTTATGTCATTCAAATGTGTTAAAACATTTAGGGAAGATTTTATTTATTTAACTTTTTATTTCTTTACAAAGTCTGTCCTTTACAATATGCCTTCATGAGAAACTGAACATATGGCCCATACTATTGTTCTCAAGCTTAGTCAGTTTAGAGATATAGCCAGAAGTTTGGGTAGTAGGAAATGCCAAGAAGTCATTAGTCAGTGGGAGGATGGGTAACTTTGATCTTAAAACTGTTCTTCTATCTCTAGAATTCATTTAACAAGCAGTGGGGATTTGGAGGGAGGTGGTGAAGAGGGTAGAAGTGCATTTTCTTTCTTGTTATCCCTTTTATAGTTTTATAGCCTTCTTTTTTTTTTTTTCCTCTGATGGTTTGAAAAAAAAATGTATTATTCCTGAGTAGATACTTTGAAATGTAGACTTCATGACTGACTACTCTAGCAGATAGTTCTTTATCTTAAATTGTAAAATGGAGAAAGGGGAGACCTCACCTTACCTGTCATGCTCTTCCATCCTGTGACCACACATTCCTCTTACTTCTGTTTCAGTGTCACATCCAAAGAACAGTTACTCAACCAGGTCCCGATGTAGCTCCGTTACATCTGTGTCTTTGAATAGCCCGAGCGATGCCTCTGCTGCTTCCTCTTCCACCTGTGCCTCGGTTCCCAGCCTTACAAGTGCTAATAAGAAAAACTCTGCTCCAGGAGACACTCCTGTAGCCATAACCAACTCCAGTAGCCGGCCCTACCAGCCTCATCGGGAGGTAAACTAGCGTCCACACTGGCAAGTTAGGAATAAAAGCCACCAGATTGTCAGAGTTTGAATGCTGATAGCTTAGCCTATTACCTTCCTGTCTTTATTCTCATCCCACACCTAGTTTGAATCCCTCCAGCCCCAGCTAATTCCTGAGAAAGCATTTGATATGTATGTTCCAAATCACCAGCCAGTTTAGAATTCCTGTTGCTAAGAGCTGCTGACTTTCTTATGTTGGCAGTGATTCTAGTTGTTGTAGGCAATATTATCTGGTAATTAGTCACATTGGGAGTCATGCACCCATCTCAGGGTAGAGAAGCACCACAGTGGCAGGCTCGCCAGAGTGTATCCGAAAGCAGCCACTCCCTAGAAGCGAAGTGTGGAATATATCAGGAAGAGAAAGAGAAAATGAACCTGGTAGGGGTAGGGACAGACACTAGAAAGTTAGAGAGTTATCTATAGTTTCTTGGTTTGAAGGCAAAAACAGTGTATCAATACAAGGCAATACTGCCAATAATTCTTTCCACCTGGTATAGCATTGGAATTGGAGGACAGAAACAAAATCCCGTGGCACAAGCTTTCTGGGTTATAATGTGAAAGATGTACTAAATGTCAAAGCCACATGATTTGATCTAAGACTCATCATGTGTAGCACAGTAAACCATAGTAATATTTATTTTATTATTCCAGATGTGCATTATCTTTACTAATGGCTTATGATCTGCCAAGTTTAGACATGTGATAAGATACTTAGCTAATTGAGGGCTTTTAACATCCATAGAATATATGGGTTTTGTTATTGTTGTTGTTCTTTCTTTGCTTTCTTCTTGGACCCAGGTAAAGGAAAATGAACTCCTCTTCCATGGAGTTTCACCTAGAGGTGAAAGCAGGGAAAAACTAGTGAAAGATTTATTAATTCTGCTGCTGCTTAGGTTGGCTGACAGCGTTCTATGAGTCTGAGTGAGTCCCAAGCATGGGGTACCACAGTTAGGCTTTCAGAATACTCCTGTAATTTGAACTGGTACAAACTGGATACCGTAATGCCAGAGCGCTTTGAACATTGTATTCTCTTATCCTTAGGTATTGACTGGGAACAGACGAGGAGGACAAGGCTACAGGCCACAAGGCCAAAAGTCCAACGATCCCACGAACCAAGGGCGACATGACGGTGTGGGTCGTTACAGAAATAGTTCATGGTATTCATCTGGTTCCAGGTATCAGAATGCTCCACCCCAGGCACCAGGAAACACAAGTGAATGGAGTCAGGCTCACTCTCCAGGGACCAATGGAATTGGAGCCAGCATGGAGCCCAGCCTGCCCAGGCCTGCCTTCAAAAAGGGGCTCCCCCAGCGCAAACCCAGGACCTCTCAGGCTGAAGCTGTGAACTCTTGAGGAAAATCCCAGGTGGCTTCTCTCCTTGATCCCACAATTCAACTTGGTAACTGGACTTTAGGAAACTTATAGTTAGATTTAATAACAAAAAGAAGTTTACGTATATCACTTTTTGTGCCATTCTAAATATATTTTGGTCTCTTTTATTTCCTCTTTATCCTTTTTGGAAGGGAAGCTGTTTTTCCCTTAACCTTTCTTAGTGATATCAGTTGATTCTGATTGGCCATTTCCACTAGAAATCAGAGGCAACTGCTGCCAGGTTTCTCAAGGGTAAGCAATACTCCTGATAGTACGTCAGGCCTTTCAGTTGCCTAAAAAGACCTTACTCAGCAACCCCCCTGTTCAGGCTGTCTTGGGAGAAGGTGGGCCAGAGCTACCCCTGTTGCCTTTCCAATCTCGGCAGAAGCCAGGAATGCCTGCCAGGTTCCCTCCAAACAACAATTTGGCCAGAACAGGCAATGAGGGAATTGTGCTCTGGATTAGGTAGAAAGGAAAAATTTCATTAGTTAAAAGAAGAAAACACTAGGAAACATTTGAGAATCTGCCTCTGCTCCCAGAACATGCCTGAGATTTGACACTGACATTGGGCTTCAGTCGCCTACTTGGTACCATAGCTTAACCTGCAGTCTCTTCAAAATGTTCAGAGCCTTGTTTTCTGTTACCTGTGGGAAGGTAGCATTTAATTAAAGGAAAAAAAAAAAAGGTGTTTCTATTTCAATGTTTGGGGATTTTTTTCTTCTCCCTTTTTCCTGAATCCTGTTCTGATCCTGAACTAAATTTATAGCCGTATAATTAGTGTTAATCTAAGGTGTTACCCATCAAAAAATTGCTGCAGTCTCTATAGCTGAATAAATAAAAGCAACAGCATTTTTGTTCCCACATTTGCTTCACAGCACCAAGTGACTTCATTTCATTATCCGTTTTCCTTGGGACCTCATGGGATAAAAGTCACTCAGACAGCTTATTCTGGGTTTAAATGATGGTGTCTGATTATCAAGTCATTTGTTCGCTGCTTAGCCTCAAAACCAAATTAAAATGTGAAAGCCAAGATGAGCAAATGCAGCTGTTCCTTGTGGGAGAGGATTCATAGGATAAGGAATGGTGACTTTCCAGAGGACTATTTACCAGTAGAGAAAAACCACAGCTGCAACAACTCTCCCAAGCAACCAAAGGTTACACTGACACCCCTCGCCCCCACGGCCTGTCCCTTGACAGAAGTGGTGAATGTAACGGCATAATTGAGCTCCTGTGTGTAGCTGGTGGCATTGATGCCAGACCCCTCCACGTCACTCAGACTTGCCCCCAGCGTCTATGATTTAATAACAGCAGGGCTTTTTTTTTCTCCACATGTTTTCTCCCAAGTCTGAAGCCCAGACTGTAAGTGGCAGCCGTGTAGAACTTAGCTGCCTCAGGGCTTCCCCTGGCTCTTGAGCTGAAGCTGAGCTGCTGGGGTTCAGGTTGGTTGAACAGAGAAAGAGAGGGAGAGAGCATGTGTGTGTGTGGCGTCTGCATGTCTTTTGTTAAAGAAAACAGTAGTCAAGGAGAACTGAGGAAGCCATTTTTCCAAGGTGCTGATCCAACCTTGGAATTTTGGGAATTTGTCCAATAAGACTATCAGTCTTCTGGGTGTCAGGAAAAAGTTCTGCTTTTCTGATTAATTGCTAACCAATACTTTACAGGAAATCCAGAGACACATGCAACCATGAAGGATTATGAGGTCTCTCTCTGTTTCCGGGCAAGACTGTATTTAACCCACTCAGACAGATGGGAAGCTACATGTTTGTGAAAATCACCTCAGAATTAAAGTTGAAATCTTCTTATAGAAAAATATTTGAAGTTTTTTTCTATGGCCATTAAATTTTTGAAAATCCTGAAGTCTTTACATTTTGTTTTTAATTACAAAAATTGTATTTTAAAGATTAGAATAAAATTTTACAGAAATGTAAAAGAAAAAAGGAAGTTTTCCACCATCCCATTCCACTCCTTAGGGGTAATCAGTGTTAGTTTGTCATATGCTCTTCTAGACCATCCATATATCCAAGGAGATACATATATTGAAACCAAACCTACTACCATTGAGTAATTCCAACACATAGTGACCCCTATAGGTTTCCAAGGCTGTAAATCTTGATGGGAGTAGATTGCCTCATCTTCCTTATATGGAACAGCTGGTGAGTTTGAACTGCAGTTTGGTTAGCAGCCAAATGGCTTAGCCACTGTGCTACCAGAGTGCCTAAGGATCATATTGTTGTTGTTGTTGTTATGTGCCGTTGAGTCAAACCCGACTCATAGCGACCCCTCCTTGGGTTTCCGAGGCAGTATCACTACAGAAGTAGGATTGCCCAACCTTCCTTCTGAGGAGTGGCTGGTGGGTTTCATACTATTCATATCATATCCATACATGTACACTGTATAAATTGCAATTTATTTTTTTTAATAATATGTCCAAATGTTTACTCTTTTAGGATTTTATGTTGTAGATATTCTTCTAAATTTGCCCATTTGACCTCTTTTCAATGTGGAGAAGTTGAAGTTTGAATTTTGCAGCCCATGCCTTGCCCCCATAATAGTTCTGGGCTTCCCAAGAGAAAGGAGGTCCCATACCCTTGACAGCTCCTACTGAGTACTCAAAAGTGGCCCTACCTAACCATATTTTTCCTTCCTTTTTCCATTTCCCTCACAGACAATTGTCTTGCCCTTCTGTAACTTACAGATAGGAATGGAACTTCAGGTTGTTGAGCTGAGTCAATTATGTGCCACTTGAGAGGTAAAATTTAAATTAACATGGCTTCATTATAAGCATCAAATATTTCCTTAGCCCCTAATTTATAGTGATTTTTAAAATACACTTTTTAAAGTAGTAACTAGTTTTCTTTTAAAAAAAAAGTACATGATACAAAGTAAAAATCTCTCCCCTCTCCACTGATAAACTTCTTGTATATCTTTCCAAAACTTTTTTAAACCCAAGTTAAGCAAATATTTTTTTTCTTTTATGTAAATGGGAATCATGCTATGCATGCTGTAATACAACTTACTTTTTAAATTTGTCTTCTCTTTTTATAATTAGTTTTTTGTTTTAAGAAAAAATAGTATATATAAATGATTTTCCAAAAATCCAAGTTGTTCAAAAGGATATGCAATGAAAAGTAAGCTTCCACCCTACCCTGGGTCCTTTGGCCCCTCCCCAGAGGCACCCACTGTTAAGTGTCTTGTGTATCCTTCCAAAGATTTTCTGGCTAGTACAGCATAAGAATATATACCACTTAGACCTCTGTCCATGTCAATATATATATTATTCCTCATTCTTTTTATGGCTGGGTAGTATTCCATTGAATAGATTTTTTTTCTTCATTAGTTTAACTAGGCTGTAATAATAGTTTTCAGTTTTGCTATAAAAGTAGTAATGTAGTGAACATCCCGTAATACATATATCACTTCATATTATTGGCATTATATCTTTAGGATAGGTTCCTAGGAGTGGAATTGCTGGGTCATGTAGGTAACGATAAACTTCTGTTACAGTTATACCAATTTACATCTCACCAACAGCATTTGAGAATGTTTTGTACAGTTACTGAGCTATAAGTGAAGGAAAGAGAGAATAGTCCCTAACTTTAGGGGGTGATAAACTAGTTGGGGCAACTGAGACACATAAAATAATACAAGGTCATAATGTTGCGTGGAGGAAGCACTGCTATTAAGGGCGTGGGTCCTGTGCTTAAGCTGGAACTATTATCGATGGGTGATCACGGGTTCAGTGGTTCATGGATCCAGTAACCTTATACAAAGGAGCCCTGGTAGTACATTAGCTTAAGCACTCAGCTACTAACTGAATGGTCAGTGGTTCAAATCCACTAGCTGCTCCATGGGAGAAAGACCTGGCAGTCTGCTTCCGTAAAGATTATAGCCTTGGATATATCTATTAAGTCAGAATCAACTCAATAGCAGTGGATTTAACCCTACCCAGTAAAGCCTGTGAGAGCTAGAACTGTATGGGAATGCCTTGCTTTTGCATGTCTTACCACTTTTCTGTCACTTTCTATTAGTGGAAAATATTTGTGTTTTCATTCTTTGACGGGTTTCCACTTAACACGGGTTCCAGCTTTTGCAGGTTTTGTTGTATTTCAGAATCCAAAACTAGAGTACAATCTGGTTGAGTATGAATGGGGAAATAGAGACAGGAGTATGAAAGGGGAGTGAAGTATGTATGGGGAAAATGACATAAAACAGTGTGGGAGTGACCCAGAAAGTCTAGGGTGCATGATTGTCAGTTTGTGAGCTGGAGAGGCTGAATAGGTTGACTTGTTGCCCTGGAAATTCTGCCATTTGACCTGACAAAATGAGACTCTGCCTTGCCTGATTCATAGGGTTCATCCCACCCTCTTGTTTCACCTGGTGAGGATTGGTATTCATATGACAGGTCATCTCATGAAAAGGAAGAAACGGGTGTCTAAAATGGCACATGTTTGGAGGTCATCAACTGATACAAGGAAATATTTTATCACTTTTTTTTTTTTATTGTGATTTGGGTGAAGATTTACAGAGCAAATTCACTTTCCATACAGCAGTTCCCATATATTTTGTCTCATGTCATTGACCACAGTTTACCACAATGCAACAGCTCCCCTCCCACTTCCTCCCCATAGTTACCACTTCCCAGTATCCATCCCTCCATACTCTCCTGCCCCCTGAGCTGTCTCCCTGTGCATAAGCAGTCCTTCCTTCTCCCATGATTGTTCTCTCCAGGGTGTTTATCACTGTTTTTAACCAGTGAATTTGGAGTATCAGTTCATAATATTGGTAGCTAGAACAATATACAATAAAATCAGTCAACCTGACTCCTGGTTGTTTCAGCCACTTGGGCACATGGGCACATCCTTGAGGCACCTACTATATGGTAGACACTATGCTAACTTCTGAGGCAAAGAAGTGGAGACTGTTCAGCTCTTTCCTCAACCACTTTGCAGGAAGTAGAACTCTCCTTATACTATTGGAAGCCCTGCCTGGTGGCCAAGCACTGTTGTAGGATGCCAAAGACCTTGGATTTTTGAGACAGATATCCTTGGATTTGAATTCTGGCTTTACAACTTGGTGGCTGTTTGACTGGCCTTGGGCAAGTAGCTT